ACTTATCTTCTCAATTTATAATAAACCAAATCATTATGATTTTATTCGAAGAGTTATACAAGGTTTTGAAGGTATTTCCCTTTTGAATCAGCTCTTCATGGTTGCTACTAATGCCTGTGTTTAGACGGACACACTGAGATAGTCTATTTACTGCCTGTAACCTCACTTTTCATGTCTGCTACATCTATTTTTATCCTTATACAGTGAGTTTCTAGCTAAAGCAGCATTTAAATATCCATAAGATTTGGCGCCTTCGATGCATTATTCTTCGGTTTCTCTTATTTTTCAGTGAATACTTATTTCTATCATTCGAATCATTTATGCTTTGCCACTAATAAATTGGACAAGATAAGAAATGACCATCTCAAAATCTGATTACATAATCTTCATCATGTCCAGGCAGAATATAAATAGTTCTATTTTCTCAGCTGATTTGATATGTTATCATCTTACACTCTGTATGTGCAATTTGGATGGTGAGATTTTGCTCAGCGAAGAATGTCAGATAGGAGTATTTTACAGAAGAGACAGCCCCAGCTAGTTTTAGAAAATGAAGACATGAGCACTTGCTACACCAAAACTTTGATCCACAAAGGACTGAATCTTGATATAAAGAAGCTTCGGCCAAGATAATGATGATAAGCTCAGTGATGGAAAGGACTAATGAAGTTACCGGATTCTAGTCTTTTCAAATTTACATGAATGAGAAAATCACTTTTCGCCGAAGCCCCGTGTTAGAGTTAGGACCATTTATAACAGCTATGATGTATCAAAATACAAAGTTCATACAATGTACTTGGTTTGATCCGTCTACAATAAAGCAAGATGCCCCCAAGGCTTTCATTCAACGGTAAAAGTTTTATAATTCAAATGTGGTAGTGGGTGCCAGAGGCAGAGTCGAACTTATAGCTGGTTTATTTACTGATTTCGTAATTAAATATTTATACATATTTAGTAAATTTCTTAATAAAAATATAGGACCCCGAACCCGTATTTGCTTCTCTAGCTCTGCCTCTACCGGGTGCATGTGAGACTTCGAATCAAGTATAGTATTCAAGTAGAGAAGCGTAGAGGTAGACTCATTATCCACCTAGTTTAGAAACTGTAAAAAGCGGATTTATTGATTTTCAACGGTGGGGGAAGTTAATGCAGTGACATCTTAAGGCAAAGGAACTTGTGTGTCCTAGTTTACAACTAAGCAAATGTATTCTCACGCTCTTAGAGCCATATTCTGTTGTTTTTACTCCATAAGGTTTGTCTTGCCTCAAAATTCTCTAATTCAGTCATTAAGAAATAGTGCTCTCTCTTATAAAAACACTAGAAATTATTCAAACTCTTACTGTCTGTATGTGTAACAGTCATAAACAGATAGTACATAATAGATACTGGCCCCAGTCAAGGATCAAAGTTATTACACTGTCTAAGGTTTCCCAACAGAGGAAGAGGAAGCCAGCGGCAAATTGTTAATCCTCTCAAGCGCAAGAATGAGAGCTTGGGTACCGAAATTGCCTTCACCATGAGCTTTAAGGGAGAGATAGAGCTGTTGAGCCAACGCCAGCCCAGGCAAAGCAAGGCCCATGTTCTGGCATTCCCTCAAACATATCCCCAAATCCTTGACAAAATGATTCACATAAAATCCAGGTTCAAAGTCTCTACTAAGTATCCTGCTCCCATACAAGTCTAAAGATTTTGAGCCAGCAGCGCCTGTTGAAATCGCATTCAAATACATATTCAAATCCAAACCAGCTTTATGGGCGTAAATTAAACCCTCGCATAGTCCCACCATAGTCGAAGCAATAACTACTTGGTTTCCCAGCTTTGTGAACTGCCCTTTTCCAGGGGCACCCATGTAATAAACTCTGCCCACAAGGTTAAACAACGGGTTAAGCCTTGAGATAATGGATTCCTCTCCACCAGCGAAGATGGATAAAGCAGCATTCCGAGCTCCGAGATCTCCTCCGGAGACGGGGGCGTCGACGGCGGAGCAGCCAGCGGCAGAAGCGGCGGAGTATATTTCAACAGCCAGGGAAGGTTCCGAAGTAGTCATGTCGATTATGACACCACCGGGACGCAGACCGGAAAGAGCACCGGAGTTTGAGTCGAGGATGACGTGGCGAACGTCGGAAGGGTAGCCAACAATAGAGAAAACGACGTCGGATTGGGAAGCGACGGCCTTTGGGGAGTCAACCCAGTGAGCTCCCATGGAGATCAGTTCCTGGGCCTTGGATGGTGTACGGGTGAAAACCGTGAGGGTGTAACCGGCGTTAATCAGGTGGGCGCACATAGAGCGGCCCATTACACCGGTACCGATCCACCCCAGACGAGTATTGGATGGGTTAATGGCCTCGGTGGTGGCTGTTTCCATAGTACGGTGGAGATGGGTGGTCGTGCCGGCGGAGGTGGTGAAAATCGCCTGAGGCACGTAACAGTGGAACTGATGGTTGGGAAGTAAACGGAGGAGCCGCATAAATCTCATCTTTGGTTCTCTGGCTTATCTGATAGAAGAAAATGATCAAATTAGTCCTTTATGTATTGGGTTTCTTTCAGTTTGGTCCTTTTTGTACTGGGGGTTGTTTCATTATGGTCCTCTATATTTATGTATGTGAAGAATAGGCACATATGGTCCTAAACCTAAAACTTAGCATTCTTTTTTTTTGGTTTCTCACCCGGTATTCGGTACCCGTATTGGAACCCGACTATATCCGAATTTGCGTCGTGTAGGGCCCCATTCGGGGGGAAGCGCTCCTACCAAGGATTTTTCCATACTCAGGGCTCGAACCCGTAAATAGATGATTTTTCCATACCAGGGCTCGAACCCGAGATCTCTGATTAAGGAAGGAGCAGTCTCATCCACTGCACCACATCCTTTGGTGGTTTGGCATTCACTTTTATATACTTCATTTATTTCATTCTATAGGATAATATATCACTCAAAATATTGTTAAATATGTAATACTCATTAATTTCATATTATAGACAAACATTTTTATAACAGTCTCGGTGGTTCCGAAATTTTTGACTACTATAGTGAAGTGCATTTATAGAAAGCATATGTTATAGGGAAAAGGTCCAAAATCACCCCTCTACTATGGTATATTGTTTATTTCTGCCACCAGTTATACTTTTCGTCCAAATCTATCCCTACTGTTAATAAAGTTCGCATAATTGCCTCTAACCCTAACGTCCCTCCACTATGGCAGCCAGCCCCTCTAATATTTTACCTATGCATGCTGCCAAGTTAGCAGAGTTATTCAAAATTCAATTTCAATCGTTCTTTTTTTTTAAACCTCAAATTCGAATGTCCAAGAGACCGAGCAGATTATTTTGTTCGAATCTTCTCCAAACGGAATCAAATATCAGTACAAGCTTCGCAAGGTATTTCCCACAAGAAATTTGAACACCCAATTGATTTGAGTCATAACTTCGATGAATTTCCATATTTGGGAGCCTCGACTCGTCAATCGCATTTTACAAATTTGTTTATAATTCCAGATTTCGAGGGGTCTTCGACGATTTGCTTATCAGATTCAGAACAAACATACCTCAGACCTCCGAAAATGCAAACCCAGATTCGAGGTTCTAAGCTCGGCAATGGTGGCCTAGTTCTAAACGCTATATCAGTGACGGCATTTCAAACCCAACTTCCAAATCCAAGTTTCAAGAGAATAGATCAAGGATAAATTTTTAGTTAAACACCAGATTTCTCAACAAAAAACAAGAAGTAGTGAGATATCAGATTTTAGAAGCGAACCATGAAGAACAAATATGAAGTAGACACGATTTTTCTATTTTGGATAATTTTAAGTTAAACGCCTGATTTCTCAATAAAGAATAAGAACAAATGAGGCTCTATTGATTGTGTTTGAATTATTTGACGGTTGTTGGATGGAAGTGAGTTGAACATTACTAGCACCTAGTGCTAGGTTAGCTTGGAGATCGAAGTTGTGGCTGGAAAAAAAATTATTCAAATTTGGGGAGAAAAATATATGTTATTGTTTATTGGGAATTAAATTCAGGTGGTTATGTATTTGTGGAGCTGAAAATTCACTAAGATATGGAGTAGAACTTTTGAAGAACACCATTACCTAGATTCGTTGGGCTTAAAGCTTGAAAATTCAACTGACTTAGCAGCTAACATGGACAAAATATTAGAGGGGTTGACTGTCACAGTGGAGAAACGTTAGGGTTAGGGGCAATTATGCAAATTTTGTTAACGGTAGAGATAGATTTGGACGAAAAATATAACGGGTGGCAGAAGTATACAATATACCATAGTAGAGGGGCAATTTTGGACCTTTTCCCTATATTATAACATAATATTTAAAATTAGTTGCGGAGAAAACTTAGTCGTTATAGTGAAATAATTATATAAGATGACTGTTATATAGAAGTCTTACTGTAGTATAATGAGAGAAAAAAAAAACTAAATTGAAAAGCTAGTTTGACGGAAAACTAGCTGCATGAAAGTTTAAACATTTTATTAATTAGAGGAATTTGAATTCATAAAAGTGGTGAAAATTTGTAGCATAAAATTAGTTAATTGGTGACGAATACGTTCTCAAATGCTAAGAGCCTCGTGTAAGTCGCTTAGATAATTGCTCTCCGTTTCATATTATGCGATACCTTTTAATATTTAAAATTAATTTAATTTAAAGTTTACATCTTAATCTTAATAATTAGATGTACGATTTTACAATATTGAAAAATTCAAATTATAAATTAAAAAAAATTCTTCTAAAATTACGTGTTCAATCGAACAAAGTTCACATTAAATGAAGCGAGTAAAAACTATTTTTTTTGTAATAACTCTGAATATATTACCATAAACCATCCAAATTGATACACCGAAAAGAGCACTCGAAATTTACAACCACCTTCTACGAAGGTTGTTGAGTAATTCCTAGCCCCGGGAAAAAGAAAAAAAAACTAGTTTCAAAACTTCTGAATCAAAAAATTACCGCTATGTACTCTAGAGAATTTCCTATGTTCTAATCTTTCCTTTACTTCCTGTTTAATTTGTGTAATAATTGTTTCTCAATGAATTCCCAACTAACCATGTCAGATGCATTTCTAATGTCAATCTTCATCAAACATCTAGGTGTAGTCTTGCTATTGTTGTATCCGAGCAGATCATGACATATGAGAATATTGTGCACTTGTGATCTCCCTTCCGCAAATGCTGCTTGATTTTCTGCAACTAGAGGAGTAATTGCTTTCCTCAACCTTTTGCATATCAACTTGGAGATACACCTGTATAGCACATTGCAGCATGTTATGGGTCTAAACTGGACAGCTTTCTGAAGCACATCAACTTTAGGGATCAGTGTGATCATTTTAGCATTCAATTGCTTTAGTAGCTCAGAATTCTAAGACTGCCCATGTAATATCATCTCCTATAATGCACCATACAGCTTTGAAAAAGTCACTACTATAATCATCTGGACATGTACTTTTGTTGCTCCCTATGCTAAACGAAGCATTCTTAATTTCCTTGTTATTGAAATGCTTCACCAAATCCAATTGTTGTGCCATTGTTAGTATGTGGCCACTGTGGAAAAAATTTATGAAGGCTTTGATCCTATGATCTCCTTTTGTCCCCAATAGTTCCATATAGAAATCTACCAGAACTGCTGTTATAGTTTTAAGATCAGTTTGTAGTACTCCTTCCTTGTCCATCAGTTGAGTAATTGCTTACTGCAGTCTCTTGTGCTTGATAACAGAGTAGAAGTATCTTGTATTATCATCACCTAGCCTCAACCATGTTGCTTTACTTCTTTGTTGCAATTTTTTTTTAGCTATATAGGAACACCTCCTAAATTTCTGATACTTCTCATTCTCAATTGATTGTAGGTTTGGATCTCCTGACCTCCCTTGCAGATCTTTTTGTGCCTGTTCTAAAGCTTCTTTGTCGTCATTTACTTCCTTTATAATATTCTTATGTTGGTACTTATTAAGCATTTTCAATTTCATCTTAAGGCTTTTTAATTTCTTCACAATTTGAAACATCTCACATCTCTCCATTTGTTCTTGCCACACCTCTCTTATAGTGTTTAGGAACTCAGGATGCTGGGACCATGTGTTACAATACTGAAATAGTTTTCTTATGATGTTCATCATATTCGACAGTTTTAAGCTCAATGGACATGCTCACTAATCCTTTCTAGCAGGAATGTGGTTGTGCATGCAAGCATATGGCCTAGCCATTATTTGTTAACAAAGACCCATTTTATCTTTGAGTAAATCATGTTGTCACATTGTCTCTCATTCTAAGTGTATTTGTTGCCTTTTTGTGGTAGTTCAATCAGCTCAGTCATGTCTATGCATTATTGGAAGTCATACACTTCACTTAAGGTGACTAGGCTACCACCTAATCTATCATCATTCTGTAGTACTGAGTTAAAATCACCAGTTATAATCTATGGTAGCTTATTTCCTACACTTCATGTCTTCAAATACTTCCATAACTCCTTCCCACCCTCCCTACTGTAGACAACAGTTAGGAGAAAGGTCCTCTGTTGTGTAATGTCATGCACCTCACAAGTAATAGCTTGAGCATTCATACTTCTAAGTGTGACTTTGAAGTAGTCTACTCTCCATGTTAGCCAAATCCTTCCATTATAACGCATCTCTAAATTAGTAAGCAGCTTCCAGCCACTGAACATATTTTTTTACAATTCTTTCAATTTTACTGGCTTTGATCTTAGTTTCCGAAAGACCAATTAGGCCAACTTCTTGTCTATTGCAAAGGAGTTTCACATCCGTTTGCTTATTAGGGCCATTCAGGCCCTTAACATTCCATATTAGTAGGTTATCCATTCCCAGAAGACGAAATGTTTGGATCACCATCTTTTACCATATCAAGTTTGCTTGCTTGCTTACTTGGACCTGTATCATCAAGGGCCTGGAAGCTGTTAGAATTCATGATCTGCTGCACTACATTTGACTGTTGTCTATTTGTATGTTGTAGTATAACCCACACTTCTGTAATCTTTCCCTTCAATCTACCATCTGTTTTATTTTTTGTGCCTCCATTCTCTTTAGATTGTTGTACTATCGTTCTCTGTTGACTACCTGCTCCTTCCTGTTGTTGTTTATCCCTCTTTTTTGGTTCCTCAGTTGTATGTTTCTCATCCTCATGTGTCTTTGGTGGAGCTTTCTTTTTCCTACAATCATCTTCAGCATGCCCATATTTACTACAAAACTTTCAAAGTGTAGGCTTCAAGTCATACACTAGTTTCTATTATATTAAGTTCCCTTTTTCATTTCTAAACTAGATTTTCTTATGCAGAGCAACATCTACCTTTACTTCAATGAGCAGCCTGACAAAATTCAAACCAGTCTTCTTCTCCGTATTTTTATCTACCATTATAGGCCTTTCAATCACACTACCTATCTCGTTGAGCCCTTTAGGGCTCCAGTACTTAAAATCTAACCCTGGCATCTTCACCCAAATGGGCAGTGTAAGTAACTTCACTCTTGTAAACTCCATGTCTGGTGACCAAGCTTTCACTATGAATGGTTTGCTATCAAAGTGGTAGATTCCATCTTGAATGACTTCATTCTTCTCAATTTTCGTATCAAATCGAACTATCACTATACCATTTTTTAGCATAACAATTTTGTTAATACTATATTTTGCCCATAAATGTCAAATATAACCATTTAGCACAACGAAAGGGGGGGTGCCCCCAATATATAACACACTACTGCATTTTTCCAATAGTTAATCTCCGAACTAATATCCTCTGTTTCAGTTTCACATACTATAGACTCACCTAGCTTCTTTGGCGAGACATAATCCAGCTTGAAACCTGCATTTGAGACTTTCCCTATGTCCAAATTGTCCCAAATTGAGTTTTTCTTCTCAAATTCCTCCGTTTCTTCAACTTCATCAGCTCAGGATAGTCTTTGGCTATTGCTTGCTCCTTTGACCACATTAGTCCATGATTTCTCATTAATATTCATTGTTTCATTGATTACTGTAGCTTGGGTTACTGTTTCATTAATTTCACTTATGGTGTTTCCATCACATTTTGGGTCTGAGTTTTGCTTCCTCCTTCACTACTTTCTGTCGGTACTTATCCTTTCTTAGCTTGATTCAATCCTTTTAAGGTTGTAGGTTGGTTCATCGACGCCATTAGAACCTTATGGGATGGTACACGAGCTCTTTTGCCCAGAGGGGAGGACCCACCTTGTACGAAGGGGGTTCAATTGAATTCGCTTCGTCGAAAAAAATAATTATTTTTACTTGTGAATTTCATAAAAAAAATGATATGTATAAATACTAAAGACTTGAACCCACTTGACACAAACAGAAGTTGCAGAGAAATAGTCAAGTGGGTTCATAAAAACCCGAGGGTTGCCAGTTCGAACCTCTGCTAAAGCACTGAAATTAAGCATCATTTCTTTTTAGCTTTCCCCCTTTTTGCTGAACCTGTATTTTGAACACACATTTGAATTCATTTTAGACTTCATCACTTCTATTATAATCGTAGGGGTTATATTAGTTTTCTTATTGTTGCCTTGTTGTTCCTTTTTTTGTCTTTATTTTTCTACTTTTTATGATTCCTTGTTATTCTTATTAAACTGCATTTTAGTTCTCTTTTTCATAAGTATTCCTAAAAGAATGAGAGTGTTTTATTCAAATTACTTGTAATATTTTAATTTAACTTAGTTTAGTATATTGAAATTGTTAATTTGTGTTATACTCAAAATTTTAGTTTGGCGTACAATATCTTTTTATTTAATCATTTGGATTAATTAGTTTAGTTTAGTTCTCTTATTTGATGTGTTTTGTTTGTAACTTTGTACTTTATATTTTTTAGAGTTATAATACGATTTTTAAGTTGGTTAAACACTTTTTGGTTAATATTGCTGAATTTTTTGAAATAAAACTTGTTAATTTATATAGATAAATTTTACACATTTAAAGTAAATATAATTTTTTTTAAATAAAAATTTTCCCAACTCTAAAAAAAAGAATGCGATGAAAAAAAAGAGCATTACGCACATGGTGTTTATTGGTGCACTTATACAATTGACTACCGCGATTTCTCACTGAATCCTCTTGTACAAAATCCTAGGCATGTTACTGTTTTTGTCATGGTTGGCGCATATTAGCAACATGCGCCGAGAGAGAAGTCGTGACCTAGTTGTATAGGTCCAAATATGGTTACCATGGTAACGGACAAGTAAGACAAAGGACGAGGTCGACCATGATATAATGACTGAAGGTCGTTCTCACAAGGGCTGGTGCCAAAGGCGAGCAGCCGAGATGAGAGAGTTACAGTAGCATAGGTTCAGAAGTGGACATAGAGAATATTCCTTTGGATATTCTTTATGATGTACTTTTTAGGGTTTTTGGCAATTGTCCCTTATAAATAGGAAGAGATAGAGAATAAAAGGGGGATTTTCGTTTTTGAACATGAACATATTGTAAAGGCTGACAAAAGAATATACGAAGAAGTTGTCTTATTCAATGATTTATTCGAGTACACGTTGTTCAATATTTATCCATAAATCTCAAGATTTCATATCCATCTTGACTTCTCACTTTTCCACGTCCCAGACAGAGAAAAGGAGCATCCCAATCATATAATAATTGGGTGGTAGATCCTTTCCCATTGCATTCATTGTCATTATTTACATTTATTACATATTATTGCTATCATATTTATTGTCAATCATAGTGCAATAAATCTGTTATTTAATACTATTGAGCACTACTCGTTACACATGTGCTCTATTTTATTCGGTCTAGAATTTATTAAGTTCAACTAAGATTTGCCCTTTGATTTATTATTAATTGGTTTAGCACTTATTTGCTTAAACAATTTGGCGCCGTATGTAGGGAGGTTTTAGTTGAAATTTTAGTCCCTTCTAGATCGCAAAAAAGATAGCCTATCTCTTCTTCGCTTGTACAAACTAACGATGGCAGGAAAAGGAGAGGCAAGACAGAAAGCCATAGAAGGTGTCACTACCAATATTTTGAACACTATCAACGAGGATGATAGGGAAGACGACGAGAATGTGACACCAAACGCTACGCTCAGGCGGAGTGACTCACCTCTCCCTCATGAAAGTGTAACTGTTTCACGCGAGAGAGGAGCGTCAACATCCATGGCCGAGGAAACACCACAAGTAGTAAGGAAATTATTGGAAGAATGGCTCAGGAGTACTCTAAACAACATACTCGACAAACCCGTTCAAAGGAAGAATAGAAACAACGCAGAAGCATATGTCACAACGATCACCGGTGAACAGTCCGCTCCCAAGCAGGTAACACTTAAACCACTGTTGATGCAGGCAATGACGCACTAACAGCCATTTTGAAGAAAATGGAAAATGAAAATAAGGCACTGCGCGACCAGATGGTGGAGCATCAAGAAAGGGTTGATAAGATACCAGGCGCCCCAAAGTTGCTACCAAATGAGACGTTGGTCGGTTTGTCGAACAACTGTACAACGAGGAAGCGGCTCCACGTTCCATTCCCAAAACCTTCAAAATGCCATTGTACCTGAAGATATAGGATGGTACTACAGACGCCGAAGATCACATCATACACTAAGTCACAATGGTGAAGGGCAACGACCTTTCGAAGGATCAAGTACCATCAGTATTACTGAAAAAGTTTGGCAAAACCTTAACGGGGGAGCTTTAACCTGGTATTCACAACT